GTTGGGGAAAATTAATAGATTCGTCGGGGAATTAATCATTTACATTAATATTCATTCACTTCTGCTGTCAAAGAACCTGAAGATAAATTTTGGAGCGAAGACGCCGAAGAGCGTAAACGTGCATGACAGCTCATAGTGTCGGTCGGCAATATGATAAGTACAGTTCGTTTTGAGAAAATATTTGTATCGGAACTGGCCTGTTGCTATCAGCAATTAGGGAAAGTACATTTATTATGCCGAGGGGGGGATGAAGATGTTAAGGGGGGGCACCGAAATATTTTCTGGCATTAAAGGGGGGGGTTCTGAAAGTTCTTGATATACTGAAGGGGGGGGGCTTTAAACTTTTCAAAGTTTTGACCCCAGCAAATTCAAGTTAAAATTTTGACATTTTCAGGTAAAATTTGCGTAATAAAGTAATTATTTTTGTGAAATGATAACCATTTTTGTAAGATACAGTCAATTTACATGCAATTTGTTTGCGAAATTTGCTTTAGAAAACGCCAGAAATTCAGTCCTAGAGCTTCAAAAATGTAAAAATTTTCTGGGGGACGACCAGACCCCCCTTTTCTCCCAAAACTTAGTATGCGAGTGCCAATCAATCACAAAAAGCTTTATTATAATTATTACACGTATAATCCTGCGACATCCGCCCCAAACATTCAGATGCTTTAATTGCTACGTCCCTGATGGTTGTATTCGAAATCGATTCTAAGATATCCTTAGTCTGCTCTTCTAAATGGATACATGAAATACCTATAGCTTATTTTAAATTTTTTGGCGTTAGGTTTGTGAAGTAATTTACCCGCCAAAAAGTAGCAGTTCCAAAAACAGAAAAGCATACGATTTGTAAGAATATGTTCTATGTTTATGGGATATTCAGTGGCGTGCTGGGTACTATTTTTCTGGGGGGGGCCAGTGGGCTATCAACCAATATGCGCCCCTATAATGTGACGCTTGATAAACGAGAGCCGAAGGCACGAGCCGAGCGCCGCAGGTGCGAGGTGTTCCTAGGGGGGTCCGGGGGCATGCCCCCCCGGATTTAGAGTCTCTGAAATGCCATTTCCTGGACTTTGGGGGGAAGATTTGACAGAAATCTGATGGTCAGGAAACGAGATTATAACGAGTCGAAATTTGCAATTTGGTTAGAATTTCCATAGAGGAACTTAAATTGGTACGGTATCAGTTTTACTATAAATCTTTATTTTAGATTAATTGTGGAGGAATAAAGTCACTCGTTGAGTATATTTGTATAAAATATTTTGATTTATAATAAACGCCGATCTCACTAATAACTTGTAATGTTTTACTAAAACGGTGTGCTTGCACTTTATTCATACGAATCTGTCATGTTTTTTTTGTCAAAACATACAAAAAGAGTTTTAAAATACTATACAGTATATCACTTGATAGTTAGTACTATTTTTCACGTGTTGTATCGAATGTTGATAACGTCAAGTATTGCCCATATCGATCAATCGATGTTCTCCAATGTCTTTAATGTTTCAATAACCATTGTCGATTTCTATAGCATTTCTAAACATTTTCATATAAGCGCCTTCGACAATTCTGATGTCAGACCTCCAAGGCGGTAATAATCTGCTCCTTTTTCAAAGACATTAAAATCTTCCGTTCAGTGCCGGTCATAAGTAGCAATGCTTCAAGTTTTTCTTGAGACAAAGACGAACGTGTGCGGGTTTGATTGGAATTGCAACTGCGATCGCGTAAACTTTACAAAGAGTTGGAAATGCATCAACTAGGTGGTAATCAGGATTCGACAAAATTCTCAGAGCTTCTAGAAATGATTGTT